GAGTTAAATAACTTTTTATCCTTATTACCTGCGTGGGATAGTTAGTTTGTTGGTTTGTTGGGAAACAGGATAACTCAAAAAGTTATGAATAGATTTTTATGACTTTTTTTTACTAGAGATATTTTTGAGGATATTAAATTTTGGTGGTTATCCTGATCACGACCCGGTTCTAGGATTTCTACTATTACCACTACTAGTGTTACTATAACCTTACTACTACTACTACGTCTGCTACAACTACTACTACTACTGCTACAACTACTACAACTACCACTACCATTACTACTACTACTACAGCTACTCCAACTATTACACCACCACCACTACTACAACAATCCTTCTCATCCTACACCATAACCCCACAGCCATACAACCACACCACAACACCACCACAACCACACAACACACAACCACAACACGACCACGACCACACAACACCACCACAACCACACGACCACAAACCACACAACCACCACACCACCACACCACAACAACCACCACAACCACCACACCAACCACAAACGACCACAACGCCCACGACCACCAACCACAACAAACCACACAACGACCACCCACCACACCAACCACAACAACCCCAACGACCACACAACCACACAACCACCACAACCACACCAACCACAACACCACCACAACCACAACTAAACCCCCCCCCCCCTCCCCTTTTTCAGCAGGAGGCAAGAAACGACATCGTGAAGCCACGCCCACCTGCTTCCACCGCCGCCGCTGCTGCTGCAAGTGGCAACAGACGGTCAGTGCTCTCTCTGCTCACCCGCGCGCGCGCCATGCAGCAAAGGAACAGGAGTTGATGGAGGTCTATCACGACATACCAGGGTGGGTAGAGAGAGAGAGAGAGAGAGAGAGAGAGAGAGAGAGAGAGAGAGAGAGAGAGAGAGAGAGAGAGAGAGAGAGAGAGAGAGAGAGAGAGAGAGAGTTTGTTTGTGTGTGTGTGTGTGAATGTTTACAAGCGTATGTACGTGTGAAATAACAAAATACAAATAGACATCATATCCACACACACACAACACACACACACACACACACACACACACACACACACACACACACACACACCCACACACACACACACACACACACACACACACACACACACACACACACACACACACACACACACACACCACACACACACACACACGTACACAAAATGTACATATATATACACAAACATACACACTGCACCTACAGACTCACAATTCTCAAATTAATTGATATAAAGGACATATTCCCTTTGATATAATCAGACCATAAATTTATCATTTGTAATATATTTTTTAGAAGTTTTTGCTCTTAAATTTTACGTTGTATAAAAATGTTAATCAGTTTCCAGATAACTTTTTTTGAAATTACCTAAATACTTGGATAATCAAAGTCAAAATATTTGTCGTATGAAAAAAAGTAACAAAACTATAAATGTCATTATCATAATCATCATCATTATCATTTCCCTCATCATTTTTTTTTTTTCAAATTTCACTTTTATTACCCTTCAGTAATACTGAGATTGAAACTCTCTCTCTCTCTCTCTCTCTCTCTCTCTCTCTCTCTCTCTCTCTCTCTCTCTCTCTCTCTCTCTCTCTTCTTTCTTTCTTTCTTTCTTTCTCTCTCTCTCTCTCTCTCTCTCTCTCTCTCTCTCTCTCTCTCTCTCTCTCTCTCTCTCTATCTCTCTCTCTCTCTCTCTCTCTCTCTCTCTCTCTCTCTCTCTCTCTCTCTCTCTCTCTCTCTCTCTCTTTCTCTCCCCCTCTTTCTCTTTCTTTTTCTTTCTTTCCTTCTCTCTATCTATCCCTCTCTCTTATTTCACAACTATTTCAACTATCAATGAGAAAATTATTCTTCCCTTACTTAACATTATTATCTATATTGTAAGATTTTTTTTTCAAATTTCAAAAATGTACAACATACGTTAATTTTTTTATTTATTTTTCTTTTTTTTAATATATGAGATTTTTAATTATCTGTCAATGTATGTTATTTTTCTGTTACTTTTTCGACAATTTGCTGTCTTTTATCGGAATTGCGGAAGGTTTTTTTTTCAAAACTGGTGTCGAGTATTTTCCGAAGAACAGTAATGAAGAAGCTAATAGATTTAGAAGTAAAAAAATAAATCCCATTATCAAAGATTATCAGAAATATATATATATTTTTTAATCAATTCTTCCTTTAAACGACAATTATTCCAATTCTTGCTTTTATACAATTCATACAATCATACAATTCTTGCTTCCAACAACAACAATTATACCAATGATACTACAAAAGCCCTAACGACCTCGAGCAATTAAAACTAAGCCTAATTATCCTAAACCGACGATCGCACAATAATCTATCGATAGACAACCAGTATCTTAAAATAGATCACGGGTCACCATACACCTCAGATGGGCGTGGCTTAAGACCGTGTCACACTAGCACTTTTTCCGCCAATTGTTTGACAATTTTATTTGACATCAAAACATTCTCGAATATAGCTCTTGATTTGACTATGCTTGGTTGGAAAAAAGTTGACGGAAAGGTTTTCAGACGGAAACGATCATTATCGTCTGACTAGAAAATTGACAATTCGCTCAAAAATTGAGAAAATTTCAGAAAATTGTAAAAAAAAAAAAAAAAAAAAAAAAAAAAAAAAAAAAAAAAAAAAAGACGGAAAAAGTGCTAGTGTGACAGCACCTTTTCAGGTAGAAAAAAACCGCTCGGGATTTTAGCCCTTAAGTACCAGGGTCTTAGGGGTAAGAAAGGGATACTTGTCTCTTGAGGGCGGGATTCGAGCCTGGGCAAAAGTTAGTTTTTTTTTTTTTTTTGAAATTGGCGTCTTTTTCGTTTGTTGTTGTTTTTTTTTTTTTCTTTTTTTCTTTTTCTTTTTTTTTTTTCGAAAATTGGCGTCGTCTCAGACCTTGCGAGAAAATTCGTGACGAAAAACAAACATAGATTTTTTAATAAGTGATAAAATTGGAGATAAAACTTTAGAGATACATTATGCTGTCTTAATATATTCTGAATTTCAATTGATGTTTATATTTCGTATCGGAACAATTAAACTTAAATATGAGCGTTTCATCTTAGAGTTTTCTCTCTCTCTATTTATTATTGTTCCTTCTTCTTTCTTCTTCTTTCTTCTTCCTCTTCTCTTTCTGTCTATATTTTCCTTTTTTTCTACAATCCTTTCATTACTGAATTCTTGATCCACTTATTTAACAAAAACGCCAAATTGTTCACCACAGTCACCATCATCACCATGACAACGCTCTCACCACCAAACCCAAAAGGTGTGGCATCACCATATGTCATCACCACATATCCTCTCATCACCACCACAACCCCTCTCACCACCAGAGGAGCCCTCTCACCACCACAACCCAACACTGTCATCACTATTTTCACAACCCATGTCACCACCACCCCAACCCCTTATCACCACCACAACCCTCACTACCACAACCCTCACAACTGCTCATCACCACCACAACCCTCACTACCACCACCCTCACAACTGCTCATCACCACCACAACCCCTAATCACCACTACAAAACATCATCACTACAACCCATCATCACCACAACAACCCCTCATTACCACTACAACCCATCGTCACCACCACAACCCATCATCACCACCACAACCTCTCATCACCACCACAACCCATTCATCACCACCAACAACCCCTCTCACCACCCACAACCCATCATCACCCACCACAAACCCCTCATCACCAAAACAACCCATCATCACCACCACCACACACCCCTCATCACCAAAACAACCCATCATCACCTCATCACCACCACAACCCCTCATCACCAAAACAACCCCTCACCACCCAACCCACCTCATCACCACCACAACTCATCACCTCATCACCACCACCACAACCCCTCATCACCCAAACCCATTATCACCAAAACAACCCCCCTCATCCACCACCACAACCCATCAACACCACAACCCATCATCACCACCGACAACCATCAACACCACAACCCATCAACACCAACACCCACATCACCCCACAACCCCTCATCACCAACCCACAACCCATCATCACCACCACAACCCACATCACCACCACAACCCCACATCACCACCCACCCAACCCCAACAACCCCACCACCACCCTCATCACCACCACAACCCATCATCACCACCACAAACCCCTCATCACCACCACAACCCATCATCACCAACCACAACCCATCAACACCTCACACCACCCTCATCACCACCACCACCCCTCATCACCACAACCCTCATCACCACCACAAACCCCTCATTCACCACCGCCAAACCCCTCATCACCACCACAACCCATCATCACCACCACAACCCATTCGTCACCACCACAACCCCTCATCCACCACCACAACCCCATCATCACCACCCAAACCCATCCTCACTACTACAACCCATCATCACCACCACAACCCCTCATCACCAAATACCACCATCATCACCACCACAACCCCATCACCATCACCACTACCCTCATCACCACCACAACCATCGTCTCCACCACAACCCCTCATCACCACCACAACCCCTTCATCACCAAAACGACCCCATCATCACACCACAAACCCCCTCATCACCAAAACAACCCCTCATCACCACCACAACCCCTCATCACCACCCACAAACCCACTCATCACCACCACAACCCCTCATCACCACCACAACCCCTCATCACCACCACAAACCCACTCATCACCACCACAACCCCTCATCACCACCACAAAACCCCTAACACCACCACAACCCTCATCACCACCACCCCTCATCACCACCACAACCCCCATCATCACCACCACAACCCCTCATCACACCACCTCATCACCACCACAAACCCCTCATCACCACCACAAATCACCACCTCATCACCACCACCCATCACACCACCTCCTCATCACCACCACAACCCCTCATCACCACCACAACCCTCATCACCACCACCAACCCTTCATCACCACCACAAACCCCTCATCACCACCACAACCCCTCATCACCACCACAAACCCCTCATCACCACCACCACAAACCCTCATCACCACCACAACCATCACCACCACAACCCCTCATCACCACCACAACCCCTCATCACCACCACAACCCCTCATCACCACCACAACCCCTCATCACACCATCATCACCACCACAACCCCCTCATCACCACCACAACCCCTCATCACCACCACAACCCCTCATCACCACCTCATCACCCCACAACCCCTCATCACCACCACAACCCCTTCATCACCACCACAACCCCTCATCACCATCACAACCCCTCATCACCACCAACCCCTCATCCACCACCACAACCCTCATCACCCACCACAACCCATCATCACCACCACAACCCCTCATCACCACCACAACCCTCATCACCACCACACACCCCTCATCACCCCACAACCCATTCATCACACCACAACCCCTCATCACCACCACAACCCCTCATCACCGCCACAACCACCCTCATCACCACCACAACTCATCATCATCACCACCACAACCAATCATCACCACACAACCCCTCATCACCACCACAACCCCTCATCACCACCACACCCCTCATCACCACACAATCATCACCACCACAACCCCTCATCACCACCACAACCCCTCATCACCACCACAACCCATCACCACCACCACAACCCATCATCACCACCACAACCCATCATCACCAAAACAACCCCTCATCACCACCACAACCCTCACAACCCCTCATCACCACCACAACCCCTCATCACACCCACAACCCATCATCACCACCACAGCCCCACATCACCTTCTCATCACCACCACAACCCCTCATCACCACCCACAACCCCTCATCACCACCACAACCCCTCATCACCACCACACCCCTCATCACCACACAACCCCTCATCACCACCAAACCACCTCACCACCACAACCACCACCACAACCCCCTTCTCACCACCACAACCCCTCATCACCACCCACAACCCTCATCACCACCACAACCCCTCCAATCACCCACCACAACCCCTCATCACCACCACAAACCCATCCACCACCACCACAACCCATCATCACCACCACAACCCATCATCCCAAAACAACCCGTCATCACCACCACAACACCTCACAACCCCTCATCACCACCACAACCCAACACTGTCATCACTCTTTTCACAACCCATGTCACCACCGCCACAACACCCTCATCACAAACCCCTCATCACCACCACAACCCCTACAACCACCACAACCCCTCATCACCACCCAACCCAACACTGTCATCACTATTTATCAACAGGTACGGGATGTATGATCACCACATGACAGAGCTGCCTATCACAGATGGGGTTGGAGAAGATGTCTCAGGTTAGTATGTTAGTCAAGAGAATTAGCATTGCATGTTGTTCGTTCGGTAGTTAGTGTTGGAGGATTGGGGTGGGAAGGGGGAGAGGGAGGGGAAGGGAGGGAGGAGGAGGAAGGGGGCATGAGGGAAGGGAGAGGGGAAAGGGGATGGGGAGGAAAGGGAGGGAAGGAGAGAGGGAAGGGAGGGGGGGAGGGAGGGAAGTTGCGGGTAGGGGGAAGGGGGAAGGGGGATGGGAAGGAGGGCGGAGGGGAAGAGGAGGGAAGAAGGGGCANCACACACACACACACACACACACACACACACACACACACATACACACACAACACACACCACACACACACACACCAAATGTACATATATATACAAAACACACAATACACTGCACCTACAGACTCACAATTCTCAAATTAATTGATATAAAGGACATATTCCCCTTGATATAATCAGACTATAAATTTATCATTTGTAATATATTTTTTAGAAGTTTTTGCTCGTAAATTTTACGTTGTATAAAAATGTTAATCAGTTTCCAGATAACTTTTTTTGAAATTACCTAAATACTTGGAATCAAAGTCAAAATATTGTCGTATGAAAAAAAGTAACAAAACTATAAATGTCATTATCATCATCATCATCATTACCATTTCCCATATCATTTTTTTTTTTCAAATTTCACCTTTATTACCCTTCAGTAATACTGAGATTGAAATCTCTCTCTCTCTCTCTCTCTCTCTCTCTCTCTCTCTCTCTCTCTCTCTCTCTCTCTCTCTCTCTCTCTCTCTCTCTCTTCTCTCTTCTTTCTTTCTTTCTTTTCTTTCTTTCTTTTCTCTTTCTCTCTCTCTCTCTCTCTCTCTCTCTCTCTCTCTCTCTCTCTCTCTCTCTCTCTCTCTCTCTCTCTCTCTCTCTCTCTCTCTCTCTCCTCTCTCTTCTCTCTTTCTCTCTCTTTCTCTTCCCCTCTTCTCTCTCTTTTTCTTTCTTCCTTCTCTTCATCTATCCCTCTCTCTCATTTCACAACTATTTCAACTATCAATGAGAAATTATTTCTTCCCTTACTTAACATTATTATCTATATTGTAAGGATATGTTTTTTTTTTTCAAATTTCAAAATGTACAACATACGTTATTTTTTTTTTTTTTAAATATATGAGATTTTTAATTATCTGTCAATGTATCAGTTTTTTTCTGTTACTTTTTCGACAATTTTCTGTCTTATCGGAATTGCAGAAGGTTTTTTTTTTTCAAAACTGGGTGTCGAGTATTTTCCGAAGAATAGTAATGAAGAAGCTAATAGATTAGAAGTAAAAAAACTAAATCCCATTATCAAAAGATTATTCAGAAATATATATATATTTTTAATCAATTCTTCCTTTAAACGACAATTATTCCAATTCTTACTTTTTACCATTCATACAATCAGACAATTCTTGCTTCCAACAACAACAATTATACCAATGATACTACAAAGCCCCCTAACGACCTCGAGCAATTAAAACAAGCCTAATTATCCTAAACCGACGATCGCATGATAATTCTATCGATAGAACAACCAGTATCTTAAGTAGATCACGGGTCACATACACCTCAGATGGGCGTGGCTTAAGACCGTGTCACACTAGCAACTTTTTCCGCCAATTTTTTGAGAATTTTATTTAACATAAATACAAACATTCTCGACTATAGCTCTTGATTTGACTATGCTTGGCTGGAAAAAAGTTGACGGAAAGGTTTTCAGACGGAAACGATCATTATCGTCTGACTAGAAAATGACAATTCGCTCAAAAAATTGAGAAAATTTCAGAAAAATTAAAAAATAAATAAATAATAAAATTGACGGAAAAAGTGCTAGATGACAGCACCTTTAAAGTCCCGTTCAGGGTCCGCGGTTCAGGTAGAAAAACCGCTCGGGATTTCAGCCCTTAAGTACCAGGGTTTTCGGGGGTAAGAAAGGGGTATACTTGTCTCTTGAGGGCGGGATTCGAGTCCTGGACAAAAGTTAGGGCGGACGACCACTCCACAACTTTTTTTTCATAATCAACCCAACTTTTTTTTTTTTTTTTTTTTGAAAATTGGCCGTCTTTTTTCGTTCCGTTTTTTTTTTTCTTTTTCTTTTCTTTTTCGAAAATTGGCGTCGTTTCAGAGACCCTTGCGAGAGAATTTCGTGACGACGTAAAACAAACTTAGAGATTTTTTAATAAGTGATAAAATCAAGGAAAGGAAGGACAATAATAAGAGGAAAAAATCCTTTTAGATACATTAACCTTATCTTAATATATTCTGAATTTCAATTGATGTTTATATTTCGTATCGGAACAATTAAACTTAAATATGAGCGTTTCGTCATTACATTTTTTTTTCTCTCTGTTTATTTTTATTCTTCTTTCTTCTTCTTTCTTCTTCTTTCTTCTTCCTCTTCTCTTTCTGTCTATATTTTCCTTTTTCTATAATCCTTTCATTACTGAATTCTTGATCCACTTATTTAACAAAACGCCAAATTGCTCACCACAGTCACCATCATCACCATAACAACGCATCACTCTCACCACCAAACCCAAAAGGCGCGGCATCACCATTTGTCATCACCACAATTTCACCACCCAGAGGATCCCCTCTCACCACCACAACCCAAAGCACTGTCATCCACTGTTTCACAACCCATGTCCACCACCAACCACCCCCATCACACCACATACACAACCCTACGCCCACCAACAACCATTCACCCTACAACCCTCATTACCACGCAACCCATTACCACCACACACCTCTCATCACACCACAACCCCTCACCACCATAACCCTCATCACACCACAACCCCTTCATCACACCACAACCCCTCATCACCACCACAACCCCTCATCACCACCACAACCCCATCACACACCACACCCACAACCCCTCATCACCAACCACAACCCCTCATCACCACCACAACTCCTCATCACCACCAACAACCCCTCATTCACCACCACAACCCCTCATCAAACCCCTCATACCACACCACCACACGAACCCTCACAACCCCTCATCACCACCACAACCCTCGCAAACCCCTCATTCACCAACACAACCCCTCATCACACCAAACCCCTCATCACCACCACAACCCCCATCACACCACCACCCCCTCATCACCACCACAACCCCTCATCACCACCACAACCCCTCATTCACCCCCTCACCACCACAACCCCTCATCACCACCACCACCCCTCAATCACCACCACCACAACCCCTCATCACCACCACAACCCCTTCATCCCACCACAACCCCTCATCCACCACCACAACCCCTCATCCACCACCACAACCCCTATCACACCACAAACCCCTCAACACCCCCCCCCTTCCATCACCACCACAACCCCTTCATCACCACACAACCCTCATCACCACCACAACCTCATCAACCACCACAACCCTCATCACCACCCAACCCCTCATCACCACCACAACCACACACGCCCTCATCACCACCACAAACCCCCTCATCACAACCCTCTCACCACCACAACCCCTCATCACCACACCAACCCCTCATCACCCACCACAACCCCTCATCACCACCACAACCCTCATCACCACCAACTCACAACCCCCTCATCACCACCACAACCCC